AAAATATTAATAAAAATATTAAATATTAATATAAAAATATAAAAATATTAATTTAAAAATTCTTAGAAGATTTAGATAACTTGTAAAATTTTATATGAAATCGCGTTTGTATAAAAGTTTATGTAGAAGTTTTGCAGGTTGTCTAAACTTTCTTCTTTTGATATAAGAATTTCAATATTTTTACAAATTCTGATATATGTATTAAAAAAAAAAAGAAAGTAAGCGAAAATATAATTTCCGAGATTTCCTTTAGGGATTTTCCTCAAAGTTTACACACTTCACTTTAGCAATGCTTTTAAAGAAGAGCGAAGAACAATAAATTTGTTAATCAAGTGGCATTGGTAGCTTTTTGAATGTAGACGACGAGTGCCAGAGTTAGTGCTCGTAATTTGCGGGGGCGTTGGAGTATGAATGAATCCCCACCATTCTCTCTCTCTCTCTCTCTCTCTCTCTCTCTCTCTCTCTCTCCCTCTCTTTCTCTTCCATTCCATTCTCGCCAGTCGACCACCCCGTCACGTCTTTTACAGTCCTACTCATCCCCTCCATATTTTTATTTTTTTCTTCTTTTTTCCCTCTTCCCCTCCCTTTTCTCTCTCCTTCATATCATCATTCTTCGTTAGTCTCTCTTCTTCACACCCACACTAACCGAAAGCAGCTCATATCAGGGGTCGGTTCTCTCTCCAAGTTCCGCGCTTCTTTCGGTTAGTTTTCTCCCGTGAGTTGTACGCGCGCATTCTTTCGTGAGGACCGGCTTCCGTGTCGTACGGTCTTTAGGCTCTACAGTCACAAGAAACAGAACTAGCGTTGTGTTGAAATAAGAACTCTTGGCATCCTGTGGATAGAACGGAAAAGCTGTTCATCATGTGCCATCGTCTTTCAAGGTAAGTTATATACAATGAATAATATTTTTTTATTTCTATTAGATCGATAAAATAAATGTGGTACTTAAATTATTTTAATTAGACAATCAATTTTTTGTATTGCTCCTGTTGAAATATGAATAAAATATATTTTTATTATTATTGTATAACATATGTATAGGTAGTCATATATTTTATAACATATTATCTAATAAAAATTGTTTGATAGTGCACTTTAATACATTGTAACTCACATGGATAAAGTATCTGAAAGATGACTCTCATTAAATAATATGCAATAAATAATATGCAATTCAAAGTTTTTTTATTCAAAATAGCCAGTATATTCTGTTTTCGGTTACTTTTGCAATTGTTACAATAATTTAGTGTGAAATGTGCAAGTTTACGTCTCTATACACACACACACACACACACACACACACACACACACACACACACACACACACACACACACACACACACACACACATACACACTCGCACGCACGCACGCATGCACACACACAGGATCTTATATTACTGTATAAATTTCACTAGTGCCGTCTTAAAATTGTTCGAAACTCCGGTAATATTATCCTATTTTGAAAGTGCAGTCTAATTTATTTGGTGGTAATTACACGGCACTTTACATGGAAAAAAAACAAGTGTATTTAACATAGCAATAAAAAATAATTCAACGATTATGTTATGTATAGATATAAAACATTGACATAAATTTTGCCTCGAATCAATCTGATTTTACTAGTGTGATATTTATGTATTTGTTATACGAGAAGTAATGTCACGAAGTAATGTTATTATTAAGGAGTCGTTGCAAATCGCGTTTTACGTTATTCATTTCGTCGTTTCTACATGCCATCGTGCATCGGTCCATCACTCGCAAAATTCTTCGCTTATTCCTTCAATTCATTCTTCATTAAAACGTCCATCATTTAAATAAATAAATGAATGAGTAAATGAATTTTAAAAAATCACAATCTTCCCTTATAAATGTGCGTTACTAAACGGTTTATATTAAAATCTAAAAAGCTCGTTTGGCTATGTTATATTAGCGTTCATTATGCTCGTGCATAAAAATAATGTATAAAAGACAGACATTTTACGAATCTTATAAAAAATAATTTTCTCTTCAAGTTGTATAAAATATCGGAATAAACAACTTAAAGAAGAAGTAACATAGATACATTTTATTTTATTCTTTATTTGTATTATGTCAGCAGTACAAAAATAAGAAATTAAAATAACGTTTCTATTAAATTTAGTTTAATAAAAATTACAATAATTAATACTCTTACATTTTTCATACAGCAAAAAGATTAATTTATACAATTAATTCGATATTTAAATATATTAATTTCAACGCGTTATTATGTTTGTTTTATTTAATTTTATATCTCAGAAATGATATATGCATATATTTGAACAAAACGACTTGTTTGCTCTTATCAAATCGTATTATTAAAAATTAAAAAAAGATAGAGACCATTGTCTTTTTCACTCATGTGAAATGTCGTGTAATTCATTCATACACATATTTATACATTAAAGTTATATTATCGTTCGTATACTTTATGTAAATCTTTTTCTTTGTGATAATAAAGATTGCTATGGCAACTGTAGGCATAAAAACATTTATATTATATAATCGTGATTATTATAAATTCTAAATCTGCGATAGGTTTATGGAGGCTTTAAAAATAACAATAATCATATATTTTAATTTAATTTGAAAGGTAGAGTATTTTAATATGCCATGCGGATTTATCAGTCAAAAATTTAACGAAATACGAAGCCATGCATGGTGAGATAAGGGGACAAAAGCAAAATTTGCCGCACCTCAGTATCGGAAGGCCGTAGGCCTGTGGTCCATGACCGGCCGACGCAGCCTCCTCCCGGTTCCACAGAGAATCGGAGTCACGTTCAGTCAGTGGCCGACTCCCGTCCGTGGAGGTGGTGCGCGTTATCGCTCCTTCGGCTCCTTTCTCAACAGTGCGCGAAAAGGAATTTTCTGATTTCTGCACATACATCTCAAGGCTCATCCTCAGTAGGCATGACGAATGTCAGGAGCACGTGGTTAGTTAAAAAATTTTGTTTTCGTCTCTGTTGGTTTTCATTGCATTAAATTCATTATACTCCGTTTTTTTATGTCTGCAATTTTTGAATGCATTCTTCAATCACCGTGTACGTATAAAGAACATTAGATGTTCGTCTTGATTTTGTTTTTCTTCAATTCAAGTCTCTCAATTCTCAATTCTCTCTCTTTTTCTCTCTCTCTCTCTCTCTCTCTCTCTCTCTCTTTCTCTCTCTCTCTCTCTCTCTTTCTCTTTCTCTTATTCTCTCTGTCTCTCTATCTTTCTTTCTCTTAGGCTGGGAATCGATTTTCGTTTAGCCCGTTTTTATGAAGCGCACGGAAGTACCCAATTACGAAACCATTTAAAGGGAGTTTTAATTAAAGAGTGAGGTGGTTCCTGCTTGCTTTCTATCACGCCGTTCCTGTTAAAGCTATAACACGTAATTAATAATTATGTTGTATACAAAATGTTTATTTGAAATAATGAAGAATTACGTTAATATAATTTACATCCTTTTTGACTTCTTTTCTAATTTATCTCACTCCTTGAGGCAAATCGAGATCACATAAGAATATAGCAATATTATCAAGAACTGACATTGTAACTGATATATATACATACATATATACGTATATTCGCGTTTGCACCCTCATTCGCAAAATGATTCATGAAATTCTCGTCACGATTTGAATACGTATTTTCTCACATGGTTTTATCATTAGCCATATGAAAATTCCGTTTCAGAAAAGTTTTTATCTTTGCTCGCCAGCAAACGTTTATTCCAACAAGCACAATTTGCACATGTTGAGAAACAAGAGATGGTCTCGTGAGTCCTGAGAGACGCGAAAGGCAGATTGGCGACATATGTGTCTCCTCATGACTGACATTTATCAAAGTGATTCGAACGCTTTTAGTTAGCATATTATTTATTATATATTGCTTATTTTATTTGTTTTCTAACAGATTAGAATAATATTATTTTTAATGATAATTTTATATATAATAATTGCCCGCATAATATTGTGTGATTTAATCGTATATCGCAATCAACTTTTACTCTTCCTATAACATCTACCACGATTATATAGTATACCTATTTTCTCTTTTTTTTATTTTACTTCTTTGCATATATATATATATAATATAAACATTTATTGTACTGCCTTAGAACTGCATTTCGTTATTTATTTTTCGTTTTATTTATTTTCTCTATCTATTTTATGTTAAGCTGTCAGACAATGTTTTAATATTTAATAGTGACTTAAACATCACGGAAACTCCAATTAAATTATGTTACAACGTGAATTATT